AATGTTAGTCAAAATGGGGCGATAATCCGATAATTCCCGATAAAAAGTTCTTAATTATCGGCCCATTTTGACTAACATTATATTTTTTCAAGTATGATGCAGTTCGCTTTCTACAATTTCGTTAGGTGATCTAAACGATGATGATTTACATTTTGGTTTATGTTTATTATTTCATTAAGCATTGATTAGATATATTTTTAATTATATTTTATTACAACATCATATATCACTCATAAATTAACTACTTATCCCTGATATATCCCCGATTATCCGCTTCCGATAAGCGATTTTGGTCATCGATAAATCCCCGATAACCGAGTATTTGAAAACCTTGCCTAAAGGTTACAATCTACGTGAGCAGCCCACGCTCCCTTGGCCGCTTTTCCAAAACGTAGGTGGGTATCCTAGATACGCCTAGACGCTAGGCGAGGGCCTAGTGTACACACTAGGTGATAGGCAGGGCTTTTAAAACATGGTTTTAGAACTACAAAATTTTCAAGTTAAATGGGTTACAAAGTGCTCCGAGGTTAGAGTCGTATACTATTCATTACTCAGGCTTTGTAAGTTGTACACCTTGTTTTCTAGTAACAGAAGGTAACACTTGTTCAGCTTCTCTTCAGAAATTAAAACACTTTAATAGGCTAAACCATCTCTCAACAAATTAACCTTACTATCTTATCTGGTGACATTTTTTAAATGCCTTGACTTGTTTAGCGCATTTTGTTCATGTCTTGCTCATGTTTGTAATTCTTTCTTAACCATTTCTCCATCTATTGCCCCTCATATGATGTAGTTTAAACTCATTGCATGGAGTCTGGATTGATGCATTTCATGAATCAATAATAATTGGACTCCATTTTCAATGATTTCTACTTTAGACGTCTGATACTGAAGCTTTTATCAAACAATATATTTTATCATACATAACCTGTTGCTTTCCTTTTTATGTGTTGGTCCTTCAACTGGATCTTGTTGCTTACTGCAAGTATGGATTAAATCCTAGTTTTATATTTCAAGCTAGCTGCGGTCTCTTATTTGGAGACCCTAACTTTCTTCCGTTTAAGCAATGCCTCCAGTTCAATTCCTTCACATTTCTATCTGAATTCTGCTTTCCTACACATTCTCTTCTTCTATAAGATGCTTTCTTTACTTTTCTCTACAGTAGAGGGGTCACGATGTTGTCATTCTAGTCTTGATTTTCTGGAACACTATGACTTATTGTTGTTTGAGATTCTTCTTAGTTTTCTCCTACTTTGATTAAGCTATTACATTTTTTCATTTCTTTGTAGGTTTTTGCCTATTTGGTTTTCGCGTAAAAATATCTTTTAACTATGATTCACCTTTTATTTCTCTCTCTTATTTGCTTCCTCCTAGTAAGCTAATCTACTATAATACACTTTCTTTGTTTTGTCATTTCACCTTACTCTATGCCCTTAACTTTAGTGCATAATATTTATGGTTGATTCATAAGTGTTCTCAGCTTGAATGTCATCAAGCCTTTCTTCCAAGCTCTATATCCTTGGCACAATGTCTTCGAGTTCATTATTCTAAATGCGTTTAGAAGTTGCATCTTTTCAATTATCTTTCTGCATTTGGACTTGATAGGTTTTCCAGCTAACCAAAAAAGCAACCATTCAAGAGTTTTGGGCTTTCCATGGATTACGAGGAACTGCTTTTGAAATCCAACGCGAACCACATTAGTTGCTGTTTGTTAACGATTAATGCCTTATCTTCTTCTTACATAACAAATTCGACTAATGTCTCGCTATTTATCTAACGGAAATTTGCGAATATGTCCTATGGAATGTACAATCAATTTGGATGTGTGGTTTGCGGGCAGCGGGGGGGGGGGGTGGTGGATGGGTGGCGGGGTTATAGTTTGACACTTTAGATACATGGAGCTATTATATTTTTACCGGTTAGACTTCTTAACTGATTTCGGTCATCTCTCTATGCCCGCATTCTTGTCTACATCCTTTATTTTTGGTGTGAACTTCCCCTGTCATAAAATTATTTTATAGTTTCCTTCGGGTGTAACGTCTCCTTTACAACAGGTGGTTGACGATAAGGATATCGCCGACACTGAAAAAAGCGGAAGCTCATTACCCTTCAGTAACGCATCTTTTCCTTGATGATTTAAATTTTATTTCATCTCCTGTAGATAATTCCTACCTGTTGGTTTTTTGTCGTGTGATTATCTGTTTCTGCATTGCTGGGAACATCTTATTTAGGCACCAACTTTTCTTTATTTCACACGATTATTAGATTTATATGATATACCATTCCTTTTGGATCCTTTTTTACAGGACATTGGAAGGGTTAACTCTCTGAGAAAAGCCCCATGTATGCCACCAGAGAGAAAAAAGTTTGGCAAAGATTTGACTCGAGACATCTTCTAGTACTACAAATCTTTTATGATTAAAATTGATATCATGTATATGGTATACTCCATCATCTATTCATATAAAAATAACTCTATGTTCTTCCCGGTATTGCATAGTTTAGTTTATTAACACAAGTAGCCTTTTCCTTATAAATTCATATTAAATAACTTCATTTCGCACAGAATATGGAAGGTAGGTTTGTACATTGATTGCTAATTATCTGTGTTCGATTTTTTTTTTTTTGGTTTTTAGGGTATTGGAAGGACTTTGCGATTTAAAGACTACACATCTAGAGGGCAAGAACAGCCAATTGAAATAGAGCTACCTACATCTCTGCCTCCGAGGCAGACTTGACATCTCCCTTCCTTTCCTTGTCATGTTTAGTTGAGATATGTCCGACATAGGTGCTACTCTCAGTGATGAATGTCTAAATGCTCCAGTATGGAAGCATTAATCCCTAACAAAACCATGTGTTGGAGAGGAGGTATTTTACCTGCCATCAGTGTACTAAACAATAGTCGATGGAAATGCCTTCTCCTTTTTTTTTTCTTTTTGTTTGAGAGAGAGAGAGAGAGAGAGGGGGTGGCGGGGGGGAAGGGGCTGCCTCTCATTTGGTAGGAGTAACATAGCTTCAATTTTCAAATTATCTTAAATACATTGTGGAGTGCAACTGATAACATTCACTTTACATATGATAAAATAAACACGCTTGTAGATGGCAGAGGTCATCTAAGCCGATTTTGTGATATTGACAGAATGACCTTCAAACTTCGAGACATTTACTGATAAATGGGAATTCATATGCTTATTAGATGTGCCCTGCAAGGGGCACCTATTTACTTTTTATAATTAGGCCATCTGACTGGAAGAAAAGACATGCGTTGCAGTAGGTTGCCTTGCTTCTAGCCTTTTCCCTCTATTAGGTGAACCGTGGAATCATCTGGATTAGACGAAGACCAATATCTCACACCCGCATTTACTTGTACTAGATTGCTGGACGTTAGAGAGATGGTCATTTTTTATCCCCAACCTAAATTGAATTATAAGCCGCTTAGTCCTGAGTAATTAGCTACTTATTTCCCATTGATCAACCCCACATGAAGAAACGTAACTGACTTTATCTCCAGCCTTGAGTAATCTCTATGCCCGCTTTTTTCTCAATATTGTATGCAATGCCTTTCGATATTGTATTTAACAACTTATCTATTATGACATCATTTCCTAGCTTATGATCCATGAGTTTTTTAATGTTAGCTGAACATGTCGGATCGGAGGATTAGAGCAACACAGATATTTGGATCATTTGCAAGTCGGATATCCATTTTTTGAGGTCCATGTCGCGGGGCTATTGCGCGGACATATCGGCTGATTTTCAACCTTGAAAATTGGCCGCATGTTTTTTTTGAGTTGATAAAGTATGTGGTTTGGGTTTAGTACTCCAAACCTAACCCGATTAAATTCTTCCTTTTGCTTTTGCTAACCATTTAATCTGATAACATATAATACAATTAGGCAAAGAAAAAATGCTACTCTCTTTTCCGCGCAATTTTCCTCTCATTTCGTCTTTGTCTCTACAATATTGAAAATGCGAGTTCATAAAACGTGAGTAAACAATAAGTTTGAACCGTAGCTGAAATCAATCCAAAGTCCAAACTTTATGATCAATTTTTATGCCAATACACTTTACTTTTTGTAATTTTATGCAAGATACTTGAAAGTTCTAGTTTGACAATGTGTATTTGTTTATTGTTTAGTAATATTCCACTGGTTTCTCTTAAAAAAATGAAGAAAACAATTTGTGTCTTGATGTGAATACTCAACTCAAGTAGGATAAGCCTATAAGAAGACAAATGTGCGTTCCATCTGGTGAACCAAATTGAGTAGAAATCCATTTGATATGCAATCCGATTTAGTACATGTCGCCCGAATACCCAATTATTCCTATCGACATGAATTTTAGCCTGCCTCGACAATCCGACATTTAAAACCCTGCTTTTGATAACCCCCCCCCCCCCCCCCCCCCCACACACACACAAAAAAAAAAACACCCACCCGTAATATTGGTTAGACTTTGTGGCAAGTTTAATATGGCCTCCAAGAGATCTCACTTATTTGTCACCTTCTGGATGAAGAACAAATCCCTTTGGCATCTCACAGACTTGACTTTGGAGTATGATGCAGTCAAGATCCTGCGTCTGCTACATATTCAATATTCTAGGAACTGTAATCATGTGTGAGGAATAATGTAGAGAAAAATCACAAGGGATTTCTGTCCTCAGTTAGCCTTACCATTGGTCCATTCAACCTTTTTTGTGTTAATGAGTATAGTTGTTCCAGAAACCTTATGGGAGAGTAAGAACATAAATAATGAATATTTAAGGGTGAAAGTGCACCCTTCCAAATTTGAGACTTAATATCTGGAAGCAATATTGTTATTCTCTCTCTCCCTGACAAGTCAGGTTCTCCAAGTATAAATGAGGGGTGGTCTGGGGAAAATTTGGTTCTCTTCATGTAAATGCTATTATTGCTTCTGACCAATATTGGGCATTGTCCTATACTCCTATAGGTCTTTCTTCTTATCTGTAGTTTATGATATTCCAATGCTGTTTATTTCAGGTGAGAGAAGCAATCCAGAATATCTTTCTTCAGATGGGGTAAGCTAAGGAAGATCATTTTTAGCTGATTAAGTTTACATTTATATGCTGATTGCAGTCTTGAATGTGACTCTCTTACTGCAGTTTTGAGGAGATGCCAACAAATAATTTTGTTGAGAGCAGGTAGTGATCCTTGCCTTCTTGTAAGTGTAGACATATGTCAGTTGCATGAGAATTATATTTCCGCAACAATAAAACAAGAGGTCTACTTGTAAAAAAAATCTTTTTCTTTCAGGGTAGAATTGTAAAAAGAATGGGGTTCTGGCTGCAAAAATAAAACTAAAGGTGTAGCAAATTTAAAACAACATTGCTACAAAGGGTTTATGCATAGTTAACCATATTACCCACTGATAACTCGTTTAAAATGTTATAATGAAAAAGATGAAAGTGTCATATTTGCTGGGTGTTCAAAATTGAAGTATTGTCTGTAGCAGCCAATATTTAAATAATCATGTTCCTGCAAAGTCTCTACCGGCACCAGTTCATACAGGCTGGATTCTTTTCATTTATTCTAGGAAGTTCCATTTGTGCATATGTTACATTCAAACTCCTTAAGTGTTTTGTCATAGAGTGAATATTGAAACGCTATCCATTTCATTGTTCATTCTGCAGCTTCTGGAATTTTGATGCACTATTCCAACCTCAACAACACCCTGCTCGTGATTCACATGATACCTTTTTTCTTAAAGGTTTGTTGCTTATCTCAGTTGATAATTCAACTGTGTCTTCTATTTTTATAGTAACATAACCTTTTCTTGCAGTTCCTTCCACCACTAGGGAACTACCTGAAGATTATCTAGAGAAAGTAAAGCAAGTCCATGAAATTGGCGGTTATGGGTCCATGGGGTATGTTTGACATTATTAATTATGATATAGTTGCAAACAAGTGTTTGACCAAGCTCCTGCCCTCCACAGTTATAGATACAAATGGAAAAGGGAGGAAGCAGAGAAAAATCTGCTCCGAACTCATACGACTGCAGTTTCTACGAGAATGCTTTACCTACTTGCTCAGAAGGTCCACTCCTATTATATCAGTTCATTAATGCTAAATAGAAAGTTCATTTTTTTTCCTTTCAAGTGCGCATACTGTTGCTTATAACAACAAATCCTGTGTGTAACCCTGGCATACACATTGTTCATCTCTTTATCTGGTGAGTTCAGTTATTATGTTGCAATGTTCTCCACCAAACACATGGAAAACAGGAATTGGAAGACCATCTCATTTTCAAAAAAGTGAGATCTTAATTTAAATGTGAGATTGAGAATAAGTGAAATCTTATAGATGTGAGGTTGAACACTTGTTCCATTTTATATTTGGAGTAAGTTGACACTGTATTATTTATTGAAGAACCTGTCCTTGCATTTTGTCCTTTTGAAATTATACTTTAATGTCAAAAGCATGGAAAAGCCCATTAAAATAGGCCAGGTACAGGGTTTGGGGATATAAAACCAGACCTACCTCTTAAGACATTTGCTCCCTTGCACAAAGAGCAAAATACCACCATCTTTAGGATATCCTTTGCACGTTTTTCATATTGCTCAACTGATTCATCTAGAAGCGTATCATAGGTAGTTAAGATTTCCACTGGCTATATTGGACCGGATGAGGTCCTCTGGAGATGCACCTCTTTTAACCTGATTTCTTTCTGCATTAAACAAGACTAAGGGAGGTGACTTGGTTCTGGAGATGTAAATTTTTCCTTGCTTGCATCTTAGGAGTGTTATATTTTTCTTATTATTCTTTATTATTTAAACTGTTTATTCCATGATCCATCTACTGCACTTGCTGATTGCTAATTGGTGCACTGCTGATTGCTAATTGGTGCATTGCCTTGTTCAGAAGCCTTTTACTCCCAAGAATTGCTAATTGGTGCACTGCTGATTGCTAATTGGTGCATTGCCTTGTTCAGAAGCCTTTTACTCCCAAGAGGTATTACTCTATAGATCGTGTTTTCCGAATTGGTGCATTGCCTTGTTCAGAAGCCTTTTACTCCCAAGAGGTATTACTCTATAGATCGTGTTTTCCGGAACGAAGCTGTTGACAGAACTCATCTTGCTGAGTTTCATCAGATAGAAGGTATGGTTCTGTCACTTTTGCATGATTAATGAATAATCTTTGTCTGATCCGAATGTAAAAAACCTCAAGGTGTTAGGAAGTCTTGACAATTTCACTCAATCTTCGACTGTTGTCAGGTCTCATATGTGACCGAAACCTCACACTTGGTCATCTTATTGGAGTGCTGAATGACTTCTTTGCTTCCCTTGGTAAGGCTGCATCTATTTCGTACTTGAATCACCAATTATTGCAAAAGAGAATGGAGAAAGAAGACTTAGTCTTGACACTATTTGCTTGTTCATAATATTGATTCGTTGCCTAATGATTATGTCATTTAGAAGTCAATTCTGACCTTTCTGGGCCTCTTAAATGTCAGATTGCTCATGGTAGATTCTCAACATTTAAGATCTCTTTAGCCTATTTATCTTTTTGAATGGCAGCTTTGCCTTCTTAACTGTGTATATGATGTACTATTGATTACACATCAAATTCGTGTGTCAGATACACAACTTGACTGATCATATAATCATGTGGAGTTACATGAATTAATGGCACCAGTTCACCATTTTTCTGGGAGATAGTTTCAGATTGTTAAATGCTTATACTATCTACTGATAGGATAAAAGTAGAGTATTCGATACAGAATTAGGGTCTCATGACTGATAGTTGTCTGGAGCTGACACTCAGTAACTGTCCCTTTATATATCAAAAATCTTCTTAGTTTGTGTAGCTATTAAGTGGTTGCGTAGCATACTTCTGAACTTAATGGTTGACTAAGAATGTATATGTAGATTATACCATGCATTTTATTTAAATCTTGATAACTATGTTTTGTTGTTCAACATTTGAAAATTCGCAAGTAAGCAATGTAGTTTATTGGAAAACACCTTTGCTGTATGCTAGAGGTATAGGGTCCAGATCTTGATTGTGCCAGGTAACAGCCTATATTGCAAAGAAAAATTGAAGTTTTATATTGAGCGCACACGGCATGAAAAGATTCTACCATTTGTTTCGACTTGTGCCTATCTATCCTAGATGATGTCTTCGTGTTGTTACTTGCTCCTTCGATGAAACTTATGGTTTATTCTGGATGATCTCTAAGCAACGTCATATTCCTCCAACTTGCGTTTTTTAATGGTCATTTCTTCAAGTACTAGTTTACCAACACAATGCACACCAGTTAAGTTTCAACTTGAACAAGGTCAGCATTGCATCTGGAATTTGCTGTGCATGATTTCCAGAGGTTATATTTGTTGCTTGACTAGCTTATCCTTTAGTAAATTGATACAGTTCTTTTGTTTTCATGTGGCTATGTAAGCATATCAAACTGTAATATTTATACTATCTGTTGTCGTGTGGCGTAGGCATGAAAAAGCTGCGCTTCAAACCTGCTTATAATCCATACACAGAACCAAGCATGGAAATCTTCAGGTAGTACACCTTGTTAACTGTTCCTTTCCTGTTTTCTTTTTCTTTTTCCTTTTTTTTTCCTTCCTTTCTTTTGCTTCTGCACCTTGATGATTTCTTACTCAGTTTATTTGGTTCTCTCAGTTATCATGAAGGTTTAGATAAGTGGGTGGAGGTCGGAAATTCTGGCATGTTCAGGCCTGAAATGTTGCGCACGATGGGGTTCCCAGAGGATGTTTCTGTTATTGCATGGGGCCTTTCCCTAGAGAGGTAAATTGTAACTTTGTTGTCTTAACAGAATAGTTGGCTACCGAATTTGGATTGTAGACCTAACAAACATCTTGTTTCATTATATTGTCATTTCATAAGTGTAAAGGAAAGTAGGTTCCTACAAAATCATATAATTTGCATTGCTGAGATTCTTGTTAGGCACGAGTTTTTGTCTATCTTGTCTTCCTTCCGAGCATTAATCTGCTGGAATATAGGTAGTTCCAGACTACGACCTTAATTGGATTACAGTGGCAATATAAAGAAGGGTAAATTGCAGCAAACCCCTTGTTCTTAAAGGTTTTTGCATCCAACTCCCATGTTCTGTTATTTTTCTGTATATGACTTCCTTCAGCTAATGGGAGAATCATTTATCTTTAAACAGGGTTGGTCAATCACTCAATGAATGTTCATATAGAGAAGTAATTTTAGAATTGTGATAGAATAGAGGGATTACCAATGAAAAATAATAGAATAAGGAGAGTTTACTGCAAATAGGGGGTTATCTGCCTGACAAGATGTGCTGCTAACCTTTGTCCTTTGTTTGTTTGTTTTATTTTTATTTATTTAATTAATTTATTTATTTTATTTTTTTTATTTTTTTTATTTTTTTTTGGGGGGGGGGGGGGGGGGGGGTTTTT